CTGAAAACTTGATGGAAATTGACATCAATCTGACTCGAGTTCACGGACGCAACTGCCATCGTTCAGAGCCGAATCACGCCAAGGGGTGAGTTGAAAATTCATATACAGTCAGGATCGTGTGTCACCAACTCAAATCGTACTTCATGCTTAGTCTCAAGCTTCTATGACTGGTAGCAATTCAGGTTGGGTACACCAGACAGCAAATATGGAAAGGGGACGTCCGATACCGAATCGGCAAAATACAAATGTATTTTCTGAACCGAGGGTATGTTCCCTGCTCCCCTCAGAAGGATATCAGGAATGCACGTTATACTGCGGATGTAGATGCTTTACTGAAAGAAATATCTTCACCTAGATGGCCAACGCCCGTCCTCCATCGACTCCCAATAATCGGTCTACACCTATCGACGTTGCTTGCACCCCGACTCAACAAAGGCGTCAAGTCAATCCGACCGCCAAACCGAAGTTATGGCTCCGACCTTCCAAAACTTCACAAAATGACCCTACAACAAGTTTAAGGAAACAAAGGGACACAATGACCCCAGAGAACAAGGATGATGATCAAAATACAGTAAGCTCATCAGTTTGAATCAGGCCGTACTTGAATAAGCTAACATTGTACCTGGCTTGAAAAGTCTAGAGCTATTCAGCAGCATTTTCGATACCTTGCGGGAGTTGGCCGGCTAAAACACTCCTTCCCCAGATCCCCAACTTTTGAAGATCTGGAAGCGTTACCGGACCTTCCTGATGGCACCGCACCCCTGGGTCTATCAGCAGCATTCCTCCTCAGAGCTGATCAGCTCTCGCAAGAATGGGTTGAGGATGACACAATGGGCGAGGGCTTTCGAAATCGTTGTGAACAAAGACTCAGACAATATGGCATTCCCTACGTTGGTTTGAGCTCTGCAAGACATAACCCAAAAGCTGACGAATGGAATCGACGGACGTTGGAGTTTTGCTTAGACACATTCAACTGTGCAGTGGATGGTCTAGAGTACGACGACTTATACCGAGTAGATCGCGAAGAGCTTGATGTAGATAGAATCAGAGAGCTAGTGGCGACTCATCTGAAATATTGTATCAACAACAAACGAATATTTTTGAAAGATAATACTAACTTACAAAAACATATGAAGGAAGACCGCCGGGCAAAGCGAGCCATGAACGTATGTAATGTTTTCTTGTGTGCATGCCCATCACCACAACACTGAGGCCGTGAACGTACTTTCAGCTTGCAGATAGACGTCATGAAGCTTGTCTAAATTACGAAGATTTGAATGTTTACCAGGATCTGTTCCTAGATCGTCGGTACTGTTCGTCTGACGAATCTGATGATGAGGTCATGGAACAGGATCGGGTGCGGGATATTCCATTATGGCGGAGCCGGCTAGGAACTGCCCTGGTGGAGTACATCGATGGTACGTATCTTCAATTAAGACAAGAAGAAGTTCCCAAGCGCCCTGGAAGAAAACCAGCAAAGCGTAAGACATCACAAACCGCGCCAGTTGTAGGCTCCTCAAAATGGCCAGTAGGTCTTCCAAGTGATTGCTATGATTCCAGATGGCTTGCTAGCCTCAATGCAAAAGAGCGTAAGGCCCTCAAAATGAAGCCAGCAGCGTTGCAGGGTGTTTCGGCACTACTAGATTGAAGATTAAAAGAGTTTCAACAATGTTATCATAGTGTTTATATTTATTATTATTATTTTTCCTTCTCCTGCCCAGAAATTTTTTCTGGTCATTTCTATTTTACCATTATGTTCTTGTTCACTCAATATTGGTTTCTCTTGATGCTCCCCTTGTTTTGATTGTCTATGATTTGAAAATATGTTCAATTGTTTTCTACATTCTACTATTGCATGTTTGCATAACACCTTCAGTTCCACTTAGGTTGTGGCGAAGGCGTGCAATTGCGTATTACACCAAGATGCAGGAGTTTTGCTAAACCAACATGTTATTAAATCTCAAAAGAGATGGGTAATCAAATAGAAAAAACTTACCGTTAAATCATCAGCTTTATTGCTATATTGCGTTGAATATTCTAGTTTGTTGAACCAGTTTCATGCACCAATCCTTGTCATTGACAAGTCCGTCAAATAAAGAAATCTGTCGACCTACTAGCTTCCTCCATCAACAGGGGCCAAGATTACGGGGCAAAAAGTTGGAGACATCGACAAAAGTTGTACCACTTATTCTTAAATCATATAAGCCATGCATAGTATTCTATAGATTGAACGCAAAGGGATGTCATATATCATGCCTGAACATCACACCAAATTCACAATGCAAGGTGTGTGGCAAACCATTGCTGCACTCCGATTCATTCTCACGTTATTAATTATCGATTGCAGGTGACGAAGGTGACAAGCAGAGTGCAGGAAACAGGAATGAAGGGATCAGAAGTGTAGCAACCGAGTAACCGAAAAGAATCAATGCCAAGTCATGTAGGAAGGACCCGATCCTTGTCCTTTGATCCAGTCGTGACCAGAGGCTTCAAGATCTCTCATTCCCCAAACTTCAGAACATATTGATTTCAAAGATTTCTGCTGAGGTCGGAAATATATAGGGCTCTGTTAGTGAAATTTGAATCTAAGGGGTAGGAAAATAACTTAAATTGTGAGTAAATAGCAAGACGTCACCTTTGAGCGTTCTCAATGACTTGATCAACCAGGCGAGTGACGCTCAATCAAGATAAATGGTAGGTTCGTCCAAAATCACCTAGCACACGAGGTTGCTCCATCCAGGAGTAGCTGACACAATCTTCACTTTTTGACCTCCAGGCTGACGACGCATTGTCTGAATGCATGTCAAAGTTAGCCAGAGCAAGAGACATTTTCTTGATCAACTCGTCGCTTAGGAGCCAATTGATTCCGGATGAGGAGAAGCCTTCGAAAGAATTCGTACTGATCTGCCATGTCCTTGATAATTCGTTTTTATCCTTCGACTGCCACTACTCCACCTTTTTTCATGTTCTTACAGTCAAGTGTTGGTAGACAACTTGCAGTTCTTTGATGTCTTCTCGGGAAGCATGCTGGGCGACGGATCCAATGAGCAAGTTAAGATGCGTCCATACATCGCCACCATTGTTTGGTCTAAGTCAACGAATGACACCACTCGCTCGGAGCTGTCAGGCATGAGCCTTACCTTCTCAACCCAATAATCATCCCACCACCTGTCCTCTGCATCAACCTCTCCTGTAACCGCATTGACTCCGTGGGATTACTTCGGATGGGAGAAGGCGACAGAAAGTTGTGGGATTGAGTCGCACCAAGGAATGTGATGTTGAATCGCAGTTAGATCAAGCGAGTTGACGATTCCCTCGGATGGTTTTCCAGCGATTCAATCGATTAATTCGCATGGAGGGTTGAGTCACATACAGGCGCAGCGAAGCTGAATCGCGCGAGGATCACGTCGCGTTGTGCTGATGTGATCTTGTATCGGTTGAGGATGAGCTCACGCTGAGTTGACGCGATGTGAAATCGCATTTGAGTCAAATCACAAACAAGTATGCGATATCACAGGTTGCATCGCGTGAAATCTGTGCGATGTCACATCGCACAGGCTTTTCATCGCCTGGCACATGTGCGATGTCACATCGCATCTCACCCTGCGACGTGAACGCGCATACCACGATGCGACCCAATTTTGTTGGAGGTGAATTTAAAGTCGATATAGAGTGAGACAGGCATGTAAAGGAAAAAACTAAAGCAATGCTATACGCGAAAAGACCCTAAACAAATAATTGCTCAAATAGATTCTAGAGTGCGTTCACCCGCATTTGAAGCCATACCCATTTGGCTTCCATATCAAAATCATTAAGAAACTCGCGTCCTAACCCTCCCACTCTTAACAAACGAGCAGCTGCTTCCTTTTGACCCGGTTGTTGGAGGTAGGGACCAGTGTAACTGTAAACCTGGTAAAGGGCCTCTCGTAGTACACGAAATTCTTCACGTCGTTTATCTTGTATGACCTTGATTATGCGACGCATGGCCTGCCTAGATTCGCGTTGTCGATTGTATTCTTCGATCCGCTGCATCTCTCTCTGGGCGCGTGGGCTGAGAGTTAGATCTATAACCACGGGAGGGGTTCGTCTTTTGTTACGGGGGTTGGTGAGGTCGATGACAATCGGACCACCGGCGAAAGTGTGACGGCGCATGGCGCGCTGAGCTCGAGGGCTGAGGTTAGCACCATCTGTGAATTTAAAACATTAGTTTGCTACCTTTGGAGGCGGAAAATAAGTAAATAACGTACTTTGGCCGCGCGCGCCGTGGTTGGTCGCTTCAACTCGGGGGGTTGAGGGGACTAAGGCTTCCCTCCGAGCCAGTTCTTCTAAATGAGATCGAGCCCAAACATATGGATTGAATCGAGTGGCAATCCAAGTTACTAACCAAGAATCATTCAACATTAAGACTTAAAATGCAATTAGATAGACGACTTTACTTACCTTCTGGCGAGCTGGGAGTGTGCATCGTCGCATTAAAGGCACTGGAAGATGTCATGGTCGGTATAGTATAATGGAAGCACAATTTGATTACACTATGCACAATGTATATACGAGTTGAAAAGTTCAGAAAAAATTGAATCAAACAATGAGTGACTATACAAAAAATATAAGAGGAGTCGTAATTTATAAAGAAAATGGCCAAGTCAACAGACACGCAGCAGCATCGATAATTTCATGCACGACCGCGCAGAAAGAACTCGTAGGGAACAGTCATGACGACAGAACCATAGCCACAAAAAGAGTTCATATCAAATGAACAAATACAACCATAACAACGATGGTAACACTGCCTAATCAAACCAAAACATCACATCTGATTATTCACAAGGAAACGTTAAGGTAATCATATACAAAGAAAACAATTTTTTGTTGTAGTTTTATTTATTAAGTCATCGAGACAAAAAAAAGAAATTGATTGATAATACGCCGATTGAGAGTGATCAACTAGGAGGCGGAGGCCGACGAGCAGCCCTGCGTAGCAGAAGAGACTCTTTGTCAGCTTCAAGCGCAGCGCGTACGTTCTCGTTGAGGCGTGAGGTGTCAGTCTGAAGGAGAGATAGCTCCAGCATGGCTTTGAGGGAGGAGCTGGCCCTATCCAAATGATGGGCGATACGTTCAGTCGCATTGGCTGTACAGGTGGTGTTGGCGAGGATTTGGGCTTGATTGCCTTCTTGATCATCGGTTTTGGAGTTTCGAGACCTCTTGGTTTGCTTAGTACCAGCAGGTCTATCAAGCTGAGGAAGGTTGATGTCGCCAATTGGGGTTCCAGCAGGAATGCCGTCTACTTCAACGTCGTTTAGGTGGTCACTGTTCGAAGCCTTCCTTTTTTGACCGCACATCTCGACGTACTGAGGGTTGTCAGTCCACTTGGCAGAATACTTGACAATGTTGTAACATGACACGTTGACAAAAGGAGAACCAACATCTTTATTATACAACATTAGAGCGTCCTGAAACTGGTCCTCAATTGTTTTCCCCGTTTCCCTAATCATCTTGACCTGTTGTACACAAGCAGCGAAGCAAGCCATGGCCTTGTTGAGAGTACCCCACCTAGATTGAATTGACTTCATCGAGCGCTTCTGGTCATCTTCATCCGCCTCCATACGAGCGTTGAAGTCATCGGTTATCTTCTGCCAGAAAGTTGATGATTTCTGATCGGTGCTAACTAACGCATCTTCAGAAATGTTGAGCCAAGATCGACACAATTGCTCCAACTCGGACTTGTTGAAATTTGAACCGCGCCCAATCGCGGACTTCGTGGAGACAGAGGGTAGGGCGGAGGCCTTCCTGGATTGAGTCATTGGGGATGGCGAAGTCCATTGGGAAGATCGGGTGGAAGATTGGGTTTGAGTTGGGTGGGGTTCAAACGAGGAAACCGATTGATCACGAAACTCGCGGTTATAGCTGATCTGAGAAGATGCATCGACAGAGTCACGGCAAAAGAACCGATCATTGCTGGCGACCTGGGATGGGGCAGCAAGGGAATCTTCGCGTTCTTGATTGAACTGTTGATGGCGGTACTGTGAGCTGTTAGGAGTTGACTCTTCACGATGATGATAGAAACGGTTGTTGCTGTACTCGGAATGAAACTCGTCACGGTGAAAGTCAGAATTCGAAGAACGCTGTGGGGAAGGCGTAAACTGATGGGTACCAAGTACACGATGGCCAGCTGGTTGCCAATCTACAGATAAAATAATCAATAACCAAATTGATGCTACACTTGAAGACATCGTGAAACACACTCACCGTTATGGCCTCTGTTGTGAAAGCCTAATTGATCAGGATGACGCCTACGGTCTCCTTGACTAACACTAACAATGCTCTCCTGACGTGGTGGTGAGAGGGTGTCTCTCTCCATGAAATGAGTGGAGAGAGTGAGCGATAAGAAATGAAAAAGATGAATAAAGTATCACACTCGTGAAAAGGTAATTGTATGGACGTAAAAAGGAGAATGAGGTAGAGGACAAGCACTTGAAACAATATGGAACACTTGGAAATTGTCAATGTATACGGCAAGGGAAATGGAACGGTGAAATAACAAGATTTATATACTATTGAGGACGGTCCCCATTAAACCTATCTATACTGAAAGGTCCAGGGTCTGGTGCGTTACGAGCTGGTGGGTGCGTGGTGAAAAGATGATCAATGCTGGACAAATTGCATTTTAGATAGGACCAAATGGCATTTGGTCCTACATCAAGCAATCAGCTTTGATTGTTGAAAAGATAGGACGCATGTGGTGACTTTATGATCACCACATGTGCCAAAAGCACGTTCAATACTGTTTGAATACAGGTTGCTGCAAATATTCGGTTGGTACTTCATATTTCGAGTACCGACCGTGTGAAACCGGTTTTGCTGGAAATTGAGGCTCACACGGATGGTGAGCTTTTACGTTTCCAGACCGCGGTGGAAGGTGGTTTTGTGACCTAGACCTGCAAACGTAAAATACACCTTACGTTGTAGTATTTAAAGCTCAACAAGAGCTTTACAACACCTAAGAAGGGATAATCTACTACGTGTAATCACTGTAAACATCATTCAACTTCCCCAATTTGGCAGAGGAAAATGATTAATAGTACAGTTTTTCATAAAAGAATCTAATACTGCACACCTGGGCCATTTCACCCACACTACATATGTGCAGCAAGCTAAGTCAATAGTTGTCTATCATGTACATACAGGTCTGCTCAGTTTTTAGCCCATCAGAATAAATAAATCACATGTTATACCACATGTAACTTTTTCGACTTTGAATTTTATTTCCCAAAAATTCACTACATATAATTTTGTAGCTGCTCAGGCAATATTGTTGAAGCTATGTCTTAGTAACAGAAAGTGTGTAACATGCAGTTGAGTTGATGAGATCACACCAAAACA